GCAATTCACTTCAATGAGCTGAACATTGAATCACAAAACAATGTAATGAGCTGAGCATTGAATCACAAAACACTGTAATGAGCTGAGCATTGAATCACAAAACAATGTAATGAGCTGAGCATTGAATCACAAAACACTGTAATGAGCTGAGCATTGAATCACAAAACACTGTAATGAGCTGAGCATTGAATCACAAAACAATGTAATGAGCTGAGCATTGAATCACAAAACACTGTAATGAGCTGAGCATTGAATCACAAAACAATGTAATGAGCTGAGCATTGAATCACAAAACACTGTAATGAGCTGAGCATTGAATCACAAAACAATGTAATGAGCTGAGCATTGAATCACAAAACACTGTAATGAGCTGAGCATTGAATCACAAAACAACGTAATGAGCTGAGCATTGAATCACAAAACACTAATGAGCTGAGCATTGAATCACAAAACAATGTAATGAGCTGAGCATTGAATCACAAAACAATGTAATGAGCTGAGCATTGAATCACACAACAATGTAATGAGCTGAGCATTGAATCACACAACAATGTAATGAGCTGAGCATTGAATCACAAAACAAAACAATGTAATGAGCTGAGCATTGAATCACAAAAAAATGTAATAAGCTGAGCATTGAATCACAAAACACTGTAATGAGCTGAGCATTGAATCACAAAACAATGTAATGAGCTGAGCATTGAATCACAAAACAATGTAATGAGCTGAGCATTGAATCACAAAACAATGTAATGAGCTGAGCATTGAATCACAAAACACTGTAATAAGCTGAGCATTGAATCACAAAACAATGTAATGAGCTGAGCATTGAATCACAAAACAATGTAATAAGCTGAGCATTGAATCACAAAACACTGTAATAAGCTGAGCATTGAATCAGAAACCAATGTAATAAGCTGAGCATTGAATCAGAAACCAATGTAATGAGCTGAGCATTGAATCACTAAACAATGTAATGAGCTGAGCATTGAATCACTAAACAATGTAATGAGCTGAGCATTGAATCACTAAACAATGTAATGAGCAACCACAATTCAGTATGTAGAATCATTGTACAGATTCTGAACAAAACCATGCAAAATTTATAATAAGATCAGATCACAAAACATATTTTTCAAGGCATATGCATCTATTGAATAGATATATAGATATGCCACAACCCAAGCTTTTGCGACCACTTGTTGAATTTGACCAGACAATTTCCACTTTATTTTCGACGTGCAAACCCGAAAATATCACCATCCGCTCGCTTGCATTTAAAATTCGGACTACTAAACATTTTCTGGTTGTTAAACAACCGTCAAAAGTTCAAATCCTTTTTGTTTTAACTATCTATAATTATATGCACGCAATCTGACCCTTTGACCTAGGATTTGGCTGGGATTGAATATTTTTTTTAAACAATATTTTGAAATGTATTTCAATATAAGTACAATATGGTTGTCTGGGTTTTCTTTCCTGAGTGAGTCTTTGCAATGTGTTTACGATTTGTATGATTACTGTTGTTTTTCCCTGAAGGAGAAGACAAGCCGAATGACCATGAAGCTAAATAGAAGTCCCACGCATGAATTGAGTGAAAGAAAATATTAAGGCAAAATAAAACCTAATATTACACTTCTTTGTGTATTTGTCAATTTTGTATATATTTGGTATGACAGTATGTTCGTAAATATCTAGAAAAATCTTGTCTTTCGTTAATAATTTCATTTGTTTGGAATGTCTATCGATCGTGTCATAATAATTTGATTGTGTTTATTTTGTTCCTTTATTTTCGAAATGTATCGCTGGCACCGTTTATTTTTTCATTTCTAACAACTGAATGACCAAGCTGACTTTGTTTTGGCTGTAAACGCATTTACATCAACATTCATAGACACAAGTCGTGCTTAAGTCCAATCACCGCACACGTTCTAGGTCCAAGTAGTCTGGTTCCCATTGGTCGACAGAATCAATAGTGTATAGGATTTACTTCATTACAAAACTGTTGAAATACCATGAAATGAACATAACGTTGTCTGGGACAAAATTACTTTGAAACTAGCTGGCGTGTGAATTCCTGTTCAGCGAGTCTACTTGTACTGATGATAACTGTAATTCTATGATTATTTCAACGCTAACATGTCCATTCATATTTTAACGAAACATAAAACTGTTTCTACTTGTACAAGTGAAGTGGCTAGGTCGAAGTGTTTAGGGCATTGAGGCTAAGTCTTCTACTAGCATTTACCCGTAAAAATTGTCTCTCTATCACGATCAAGCAACGGCAGATGCTTCTTTGTTTCAATTCAAATTTGATCCGGGTTGCGTGTAATTACATTACATTACATTACATTACATTACATTACATTACATTACATTACATTACATTACATTACATTACATTACATTACATTATATTATATTATATTATATTATATTATATTATATTATATTATATTATATTATATTATATTATAAGCAAACGAATCCAGCCATTGAGCAAAATGGCAAATGACTCCACCCCTCGCATACACCGGTTTTCCTGGCCTTTGTATTACTCCTCGCATAGGGCTTTTTTGCTACTAGCAAATGATACATTTTACCACTCACATATGCCGTTTTTACCACTAGCATATGGCATATTTTGCTACTTGCGACTCGCAACTTGGTACTCGCATATGGCACTTTTTCTAGGTCGTACATACCTGAAATACAAGTAAAACGCATTATTTCTTACTTACTTGAAACACAGTAACAATTGCCCAGAGTAAGGAGTCAAAGTTTTTCCTGTCACATATTCTGGTACCATCATGTAAATATTCACAAAATTTACAGCCAAATAAATGCATGCCAAGAATGCTAAAGAGGAAAAGAAGAAGATATTTACAATTAAAATTTATAAACAAGTGAGGGTATTTGGTAGTAGATGAGAGACCTAACTCGAAAAAATTGGCAAAATGCATAAAAATTAAACTAATGACACAGACTTGCACTAATGTCACTTCAGTTATATAGCTATGCTACAGCTAATGGAGGGAAGCCATCCATTGTCACAAGGAACTGTTCATCACAATATCACACCTTGAGTAACATGACAAATGACAAATTGATAATACTTGTATGTTATACATATCTCTGAATGTGAGCTGCAACATAAGCAAGTTCGATACAGTGTGAAAAACAGTAACTTATTTATCTTGTACACATTAACAATTAGAGACTTTAAGATGCACATACGAGAACGGAACAAGAACGGGTATGTCACTGCTTTGTGCATGACCTCCACGCAAACCAATGATGTCATCGATTGCCTGGTCGTACGGCAGTCGTTTTGAACGTGATCAAGATGACTGACTCGTAGTTGATTTCCTGAGAGCTTTTCTCGCTGTCAATTTTGATTAATTTTTACTCACTGACATTGATAAAACGCTTTATATTAGAGTGATTTTGTATATTCATGCTGAAATAAGAAATATTGGATGTATTTTAGCTGATATTTATATCCACTGAAAACGCATGACATTGATCTGCTGAAAGAGGATTCGGCAAACAGGCCTGGGACCTCAGCAGAGTGGATGCAAGAGCTCTGTCAAATGCCTGGGAACTAACTACTAATTCAGATTCTGGACGTGAAATGACATAACAGATTTTATTGGATAGTTTTATCATGGTTGCTCAATGAGAGACGAATTGACATGGTTTTGTTTCAGTTACGTTTGTACGTCATTGTTTTGACACCCAAGAACGTAACGCAAACAAAATTAGAACAACATGTTATGTTCCTGTTAGGTACGCAAATCTTAAACTCTCTAGAATTAACAATGACAACAGACATTTTCCCTGTACACACCCAGTGATGGACATAGGCATGGTTGCTAGAGACACACCCAGTGATGGACATAGGCATGGTTACTAGAGACACACCCAGTGATGGACATAGGCATGGTTACTAGAGACACACCCAGTGATGGACATAGGCATGGTTACTAGAGACACACCCAGTGATGGACATAGGCATGGTTGCTAGAGACACACCCAGTGATGGACATAGGCATGGTTACTAGAGACACACCCAGTGATGGACATAGGCATGGTTGCCAGAGTCACATCCAGTGATGGACATAGGCATGGTTGCTAGAGACACACCCAGTGATGGGATATAGGCATGATTGCTAGAGACACGCCCAGTGATGGACATAGGCATGGTTGCTAGAGACACGCCCAGTGATGGACATAGGCATGGTTGCTAGAGACACATCCAGTGATGGACATAGGCATGGTTGCCAGAGACACACCCAGTGATGGACATAGGCATGATTGCTAGAGACACATCCAGTGATGGACATAGGCATGGTTGCTAGAGACACACCCAGTGATGGGATATAGGCATGATTGCTAGAGACACGCCCAGTGATGGACATAGGCATGGTTGCTAGAGACACGCCCAGTGATGGACATAGGCATGGTTGCTAGAGACACACCCAGTGATGGACATAGACATGGTTGCTAGAGACACATCCAGTGATGGACATAGGCATGGTTGCTAGAGACACACCCAGTGATGGACATAGGCATGGTTTCTAGAGACACACCCAGTGATGGGATATAGGCATGGTTACTAGAGACACACCCAGTGATGGACATAGGCATGGTTGCTAGAGACACACCCAGTGATGGACATAGGCATGGTTGCTAGAGACACACCCAGTGATGGACATAGGCATGGTTGCCAGAGACACACTAAGTGATGGACATAGGCATGGTTGCCAGAGACACACTAAGTGATGGACATAGGCATGGTTGCTAGAGACACACCCAGTGATGGACATAGGCATGGTTACTAGAGACACACCCAGTGATGGACAAAGGCATGGTTACTAGAGACACACCTAGTGATGGACATAGGCATGGTTACTAGAGACGCACCCAGTGATGAGCATAGGCATGGTTGCTAGAGACGCACCCAGTGATGAGCATAGGCATGGTTGCTAGAGACACACCCAGTGATGGGCATAGGCATGGTTGCTAGAGACACACCCA